TTCAATTGCTGTGTTTTCAACTCCTTGATTAGACACTTAACATCTTTTTGAATTACTGCTCAAAATTCATCTTGTGAGTTTTAGGATGCAGCATCATCAATGATTAGTTTCATATATGTATATATATATATGTGTGTGTGTGTGTGTGTATGTATATACATACATATATACATATATTTATTATGCACACACATTCCCCAAAGTCTCATTTTATTTGAAAGAGAATTTCTGGTCCTTCTGTTTGTAATATTTTGAGCTATGCTGCTGCTATTTCCATTCGCTTTAGTGGTTACTATGAAAAATGCAGTGTTCAGTTATATGTATATGTATATATATATATATACACACACACAGATGCACATTGAAATGTAAACATTTATGCACAATCAATGCTTGTTAGCCACCTAGTGGACTCAAAAGTAAACTCATGACAAAAGCAATGAAGAGAGATGTTATGACAATTTAGCTTTTTTTTTTTTATGGAACATTTATTGACCAAATGAGATAACATATATATAACATTTTGCAAACCTTGAACGGCTGCATTGGATAGAGTGCTGGGCCTGGAGTGAAGATGACTTGAGTTCAAATCCAGTCTCAAATACTTACTAGTTGTGCGACTCTGAGCATGCCATTTAACCTCTGTTTGCTTCAGTTTCTCATATGTCAAATGAGGACAATAATAGCACCCACCTCCCAGGGTTGTTGTGAGGATCAAATTAAATAATAATTATAAAATGCTGAGCATAGTACCTGGCACAAAAAAGTTCTATATAAATGTTAGCTATATAAATGCTATCTCTTGTTCTGTTAAAATTATTTAAAGAAACAAAGCTTTATAATATAATTAGGCTCTGTCACTTAACTACCTGTGTGACCTGGGATGTTATTTCACCTCTCCTTGACTCAATTTCTTCATCTATAAAATGAGGGGATTGGATTTAATGACCTATAACATCCCTTCCAGCTCTAAATCTGTGAACTTCCTATTCCATAATTGAATAATAAAATGAAACTTTCTTTATATTTTGTTTTAACATTTTAATACTCAGTTATTACATCTGTTAACCTGCTCTTTTGTGACTTTATCAACAGATAAAATCTGAGCAGAATTAAAAAATCAAGGGTGTTCAGAGCAATTTCCTGCTTATGTATGTTAAGTGTTTCGTATAATTTAAAGAAATATATATATATATAAATGTCCACTATTTTTAATCTGTAATAAGGGGACAATTTCAGTAATTCAAACAAAACTTTTGTTAAGGTTTAAAAATTAATTTTAATTCTAAAATCTATCTTAAAACCATGGCCTGATGCATATAATGAGGTTTAATTGTGCTTGGGAATATATGTTTAGGGTCAAGGGAAAAATGTAAAATAAACTGAAGTGGTACTTGGAAAATGTAACTAGTTTTAAAATTAAAATGGAGGCCATTTGGAAATTTAAATCCCATTACTTGGGACTTGACTTAGGGAGGATGTGAATGATAATTTCTGGTGGGAAGAGAGGAAGGCAATCGGCATTGACATAGTATCTATTATGTGCCAAATATTATTTCATTTGATCCTCATAACAAGCCTGTAATCTGTAACAACAAGCTGTTATCCCTATTTTACAGTTTAGAAAACTGAGGCAAATAGGTTACATGACTTGCCCAAGCTAAGTAAATATTTGTGGTCAAATTTGAACTCAGGTCTTTTTGGCTCCAGTCCCAGTACTCTACCCAATGGGCCACCTAACTGCCTCTAGTCAACAAAGTGGACAATAATGTAATTTTAATTTTGATCTGTCTTTTTGGTAACAAATCTTGCTTCCATATTCTTTATAGTTTATGCTATTGAGTTGACTTCTGCATCACTGTTAATTCAGTTTTAGCTTGCATTTATCATCACCTGCATTACTTTTGTGCCAAATCAGTCATACATTCAATAAGCATTCATTAAGCATATACCATGTGGTTGAGAGTCAAAAGAAGGCAATAACATGGTCCTTGTACATAGAATTGTCATATGCTAAAGAAAATTGAAGTTTATATAAAGTAGGAAGAAATAATATGAGGTCCCCATTAAAACAAAAACAAAAACTGAACTAAACCACTTAACTCTCTAGCTCCAAGAAAACCATGAATCAAAAAGACAACTCCTTAAGCTGTTGTTTTACATGATTATTTTTTAGAGAAAGAAAGGGAAGAATGAAGCATGAATCAAGACAGGGAAAGAAGTTAGCAACTGTAAAATTCCTTTAAAACTAGGATTTATTTATTTCCTTTCTTATTTTGTTTTGTGTAAATTATGCATTTAAATTTATTTTAAGAATTCCAAGACCATCAGACCTATCCATGTGTAAATGTACATATGAAAGACATTCCAAAGCTAAATATCAATGTATTCAAAAATAGAAAATGTGATCAGTAGAATAGAAAGGTCAATTTTTTATTATGTTCTTTAATATTTTAAATAGAAATACAAGTTGCATTTGGTCAAAAATTCTTCTTAATTTTTGATATATGTATATATATATATATATATATATATATATATATGTTTGTGTCTTCAACAGAGTATATTTTGACATTTTCTTAATAGTGAAACAACTTTGCATTCCTGGGATATGTCCAACTTGGTCAAAGTGTATTAAGAAGGGAGAGTTGAGTAAGGGAAGTCAATTGGGAGATTTCTGCAATGGTCGATGTGAAAGGTGTTGAGGGCCTGACCTAATATTTGACCATGTAAGTATAGAGAAAGGGATTGAAAGGAGAGATGTTGTCAAGGTTCAATAAACAAGTTTTGCAACTTATTGCATTTGGGGAGAGAAATGTGGGAAAGTAATCAATTTAGTATGACTCTAAAGTTGCAAACCTAGGTGACTAGAGGAAGGATGGTGATGCCCTTAACTAAAACAGGGAAGTCTCAAAGAGGGATGGCTTTGAGGTTAAATATAATGAGTTCTGTTTTACACATGTTGAGTTTGAGATGTTTATAGAACATCTGGTTTGAAATGTCTAGTAGGTAGTTGTTGATATAAAACCTCAGATACAATATACTTTGGGACTTTCTTGCTTGGTTGTATCTGCCAAAGTTTGTACTTTTTTTGCATAGCTTTCAATTCTCCTTACTGCTTAGGTTCCCTCCATTCTTTCAGTCACCTAGGTTTGCAACTACTATATCATACTTCAATCCTCACTTTCATTAACACCAAAACCTATTCAGTTGCCAAATAGTAATTTTTATTTCCACAACATTTCATAATATTTCCCCTTTTCTCCAATGATACAGCCACTTAGCTCAAGCCATCATCACCTTTAGCCTGCACCATTGCATTTGCCTCTTAATTGATCTTCCTGTCATATCTCTCCCCACTCTGATCCATCTTCCACATCGTCTTCAAAGTGCTTTTCCCAAAGGAAGTCAGATCATGATCCCCATGCCTTCTCCTCCCTGAAAACTCCAGTGACTCTATTACTCCTAAGATCAAATGTAAACTGCTCTCTTTGACATTTAAAGCTCCCAGAAACTGTTACCTTTCTACTTTTTTTAGTCTTTTAAACATTATTTCCCTCTGTCCACTATACCATACGTCCATTGTAGCCTTGTTTACTTTTCCTTACACACAAATGCTCCATTTCTTATATCTTGATTCTTTGCACTGGTGATGCCCAATGTCTGGAATGGTCTCCCTTCTCATTTCATGTAGTCCATGATTTCCTTCAAGACTCAGCTCAAGTGCCATCCTCTGTAGGGGGCATTCATTTGTCCCTCAAGCTGCCAGTGCCTTCTCATCTGAAGTTATTTTCTCTCTGATTTGCATATTTCTTTTATATTCATGCACACACACACACACACACACACACACACACACACACACACACTGCTGTTTCCCTTGCTAAAATGTAAGGTCCTTGAAAGCAGAAACTGTTTCACTTATTTTTTTTTGTCTTTGCATTTCCAGGGCTCAGCACAGTGCCCTGGCATGTAGTAAGAATTTAATAAATATTTGTGAATCAACTGAATGGTGATCAAGTATCAGAGGAGATGCTTGGGCCATTGCTTGCAGCAGATGTATTATGTGAAATAGTGAGATATTGCTCACGTGTTTCTGATTGGTTTCCAATCTTTGATGTCAAAGACAGGGATGGAATGATTAATGAGGAATCTAGATGTTCTAATTTGGATCATTCTAAGCATAAAAGATTCACAATATTATGTGTGTCAAACAGGATGAGGGGTCAGCGAGGAAGCAGGCTATTGCATGAATGGGCTAGGTAGACCTGGAAAATCAGAGTTTTATGGTTTAATCTTATTTTTGCTCAGGACTAGCATGAGATGTCCTTCAGTTGCTCAGTTATTTCTTTGTAGATTTAAATCTTATTCTTCAGAGTAAAACAAACTAATAATCATGGTGGGAATTTTTACATATCTTTTTGTCTATGCTAAACATATTTTAAGAAAAAATAGTAATTTAAAAGGTGACAGACAGAGCTTTATTACTGTAGTAAAGGACTCTTTAACAAAATTATTTAATCAGTATTACATAGAAATTTCATGTTATTTCTTGAAAGAGTGCTGTCTCTGAGCTAATTACATGATTTTGGCATTCAAACACATGGTTTTCTTGGCATGCAATGGTATATTTGACTAGAATATGTATTAAGGCTTAGAAGGAGGTAGGTGAAAAGGAAATTGAAAATGTAAGCCCTTTATTCAGGTAAGAAAAGCCCCATATATGTTTGCTGTTTTTCATGTAAAAAAAGAAGGCTGAAAAAATCTGAACCCTTTTGACCTAGAAAAGGATCTTAGAGATAATCCAATCCAACTTCCTCTTTTTATGTACAGCAAACTAAGACATAGAGAATTGTCTAGCATCACAAAAGTAGAGGCCAAGTCAAAACTCTAATATGGGTCACCTGATTTTTATCTTTGATATCATGCCATATTGCTTCCTTAAGAAAAAAAAAAAAGCTTTTTTTTTTCCAGCGGTGAAGATCTCCCAGCACACCAACATGCCTCTCGCGAAAGACCTCCTGCACCCCTCTCCCAAGGAGGAGAAGCAGAAACACAAGAAGAAGCTCCTGGTGCAGAGTCCAAACTCATATTTCACGGATGTAAAGTGCCCAGGGTGCTATAAAATCACTACTGTCTTCAGCCACACAGAAACAGTGGTTCTCTGTGTGGGATGCTCCACTGTGCTCTGTCAGCCTACTGGAGGAAAGGTAAGACTCACAGAAGGATGCTTCTTCAGACGGAAGCAGCACTAATGACTGAATCAAGATGATTGAGAAACTGTAAAGAATAAAAAAAATTTGATACAAAAAAAAAGAGGTGAAGTTTAGAGTCAGGAGTCATCAGTGAGACTTGCATTTTTAAAAATGTGATCAGATTACAATAAAGGAAAAAGAAATGAAAGTGGTTATGACTTTGATTTTCCAGATATTCTTCATTACAGCATTAAGTAGAGTAGCTGAGGGAGGTGGGAAGCAGCCCCAAAGAAGGTATTGCATCAAATTCCCTCCTACTCCAAAGCTGCCACAAGGCTGCAGATAAAAGCAAAGAGAGGAGTTTTTATTGGTCTTTGCAAGATGGGTCCACCTTGGAGTTCTCTTGGAGTGAGGGATAGTGGGCCAAGTAAGATCCCTTAGACTTAGCACAGTGTGACTTTGGTGGGGGAGGGAGGAGGAGAGTCTATTATTCTTAAGAGTTTTTCTCTGTGTAATTGTGTACCCTGTGTCACATGTGTCCACAGGGAAGTGTTGTATGCTCAGTCTTGATAATGACTACCTAAGGTTTTGGTCATAGAGAAGAATTCAGTAATAATCAATCAGCAGGCATTTATTAAGAGTTTATGATGTGCCAGGCACTTACTAAGAACTGAAGATCCAAAGTCAAAGCAAAAGAATAGTCCTTACCTCCAAGAAGTTTATAGTCCAAGAAGAAAAGAACTCTCTCTCTCTCTCTCTCTCTCTCTCTCTCTCATTCTCCTGTCTATTCTCTCTCTTTTTTTCTCTCTCTCTCTCCTTCTCTCTCATACATATATTCATATATACATAAACTTGCACACATATGCACATACATATATGAGTGTCTATCTATCCGTCTATGTATCTATGAATCGATCTGTCTACCTATCTGCACATCTGTTTCATAAGATCCACAAAATCTGTGTCTTTTACATCTCCTGAGTCATTCCCTACACCTTTGAGTGTTGCCATATCAGAGATCACAGAAGCCTTGAAGTCAGAAGTTGTGGTCTGACACTTTCTCCTAGTTTTAATAGGATTTCAAATTGACCCACATCGTATTGGTTGAAAGAAATGGTCTAATCCTTTTGATAAAATCTAGAAAATATGAATTTTTGTATCATTATCATCACTAATTGTTATTGTTTAGCATCTGTTGACAGCATATTGGCAGAGTTCAAGATATTTAGCCATATAATACTATGCAGTTCCTTATAATTAATATCCTTTCAGCCTTCAAGTAATAGGCAAACCCACTTGGCAATAGAATCTATATAATATCCTGACAACGTTGTGCTTTACAATACTCAGACAAAGGACAAACATTGAAAATAGAAAATTGAATAAGATTGTTGTGATCTATTCCACTAACTGTATACCTCAATTTCCCAGCTGTAGGAACATGGTTGGTGCTGAAGTGACATTTGGTAGCAGTCCGTCAGAGCTGTCATTTGGGCATTAAAATAATCAACTGATTAATCGCTTCTAATTAGCTTGTTTTCCCTGCTCTATCACCAACTGAAATTTTGAGCTTGATCAAGATGGGGATGTTGAGCCATTTCTTCAGCCATCTGTTCTCCTCCTTGGTGAACAGTGCTGCTGGAAGCAGTTTTGATATCAGAAATATAAATAATTTGGAATACAACTAAAGTACTCATGTTCATCTCAACTAATTCTTCACTTTGTGATGCCAAAAGACAGGAACATCCATAATTTTCCTTTGCCGAGCTGCATAGCAATAGTGACTCCATGCAGACTGTGTTCAACCATTAATAATCATCTAAGGGTTGATGAAATACTTGTTATACTAACACCTGTGGTAACTTTAGAAATTTGTTGACTATGATGTTAATAATTCAATTGGCTACCACAATTGTCATACAATTGAAAGACATTTTTAAAGTGTAAATGAAATATAATTCTTCATTTCTTTTCGGGGGACTAGTTTTTACATGCAATCAAAGGAGTAATATTTATTTTATTACATTTCTATTGTGATATTACATATAATATTAATATTTAATATTAATATCTCTCACATTCTCTCTGAAATTAAAATTTATTTCGGTTACAAGGGAACACTGATCTCTCACAGAAACAAGTTCCTGCACTTCTTTACTTTTATTCTGTGAATGGTACAAAGAAAAGTAATACATGTATGATAGAACTATCCAATTATGAATGTTGTACAATACAGAGATAAGTTTGAAGTTCCTGATAAGTTAGTATAAAAGACTGAATGAATGGATATGAAATATGAGAGGGATGTAAGGTTCTGTGCTTTGGCTGAAAAAAATCAACCTAGCAAACTTAGGGTGGGAAACATATGAAGAGCAGTTTATCTGAAACTGATGTGGAGATTTGATTGGATTACAACCTCAATATGAATCAACAGCAAATAAAAGATAATTCTATCATAGGCTGCAATAAGAAATACATAGTTTTCAGAACCAGGGAGTTGAAAGTCCTGCTATATATTCTTTCCTGGTCAGACCATAACTAGAGTGCTGTGTTCAGAGAGAAAGTTTCTTTCCAAATTACTAGGATGTCTGTCCGAGGGAATCAGTAAGAAAAAAAGGTTGTCTTATTGCTAAGTAGTATTATAACTCCCCCCCAAAAAAAAACAGGAAAAAGAAAAAAAAAAGTCACATCATTCAGACCTCATGAGCTGTACTAAGAATAACTGAACTAAACTGTGGTCTAGAGGGTCATAGTAGTTTGCTAAGTGAGGAGGAGTACATCAATTCCAGGTAGTTTCCTTCAGTGCCTCACATGTCCTTTTGTTCTTTCAGTGTTTAAAGTAGAAGTCATACCCCCTAGGATATCTGAGGGGAGAAATTTGGAAGGACTTGCTCAATCAAAACAAATGGCCAGAGAAAGAGAGTAGAAAGTTTTGATACTAAATCTCTAAACTATTAAACTTGAAACTAGAAAATACTAAACCTCTAAATTCCAGCCACCATGTTAGAACATAGATAACTTGGATGACAGCCAGAAGAGAGCAACTACTATGGTAAGGAATGGAGAACATGCCATGTGAGATTTGGTTGAAGGAACTAGGAATGGTTAGCCTGGAGAAGAGAAGGCTTGAACAGGTCGTATTAGCTCTATTCAAATATTTGAAGGGCTGTCAAATGGAAATTGATTTGGAATTGTTCTCCATGGCTTTAGAGAGCAGGAATAGTAGCAATGGGTAAAAGTTGAGGAGAGACAGGTTTGGGATTAATATAAGAAAAACAGTAAGGAAAATAAAAACCTTTTTAATAGTTATTCAAAAGTCAAATGGATTGTTGTGATTTTCCTGCTTATTAGAACTTTTCTAGCAAATCTGAATATCTGCTTGTTGGAAAAGTTGGTTTAATATAGTTTGAACCAACATGGTCTATGAAACCATTAGTTGCTACTCACATTTAAATAGTGTTTTAATATTTACATCACGCTATTTTCAACAATCCTGGACAGACAGTATTGATAGTGTTATCATCTGAATTTTATGCATGAATCTGAATCAGAGGGGTAATAGTGGGAATGGATGTGAGCAATATAGACAAGGCAGAATAGAAAGGATTCATTGACTGAAAAGAAATTCATGAAGTTAAAGACGACTGACATTTCTGCCATAGGGAACTGGAAGAAAGGTGATGATATTCACAGTAAAGTCAAGAGAAACAGGTTTTGGACAAAAATAATGATATTGATTATAGATATGTTGAGTTTGAGTTTATTGAAGGACATCTAAATGAAGATATTAAATAGATGGGAAGAAATACAGGACAGTTACTTTAGCTACAGATTCAGAATTTTGTGGCATTTGTATCAAGGTAGTATTTGAAACAATGATAGTAGATGAAATTGTAAAGGAAGAAAATATTAAGACATAGAGAGATGATGATAGAACATTGGAAAATGCCTATATTTGGGGGGTATATGAAGTTGCTGAAGGAGGTGCATAGGAGCAGTTAGAGAGAAAAGAAACCATAACAACAAAGAAGGCAAAGAAGAAGATAATATCGAGAAATAGTCTGCTATCAGCAGTGTCAAATACTTCGGAATGAGCAGAAAACATGAAAACTGATAATGAACTATGGAATATGATGAATAGGATGTCATTTGTGGCCTTAGAAGAACCCAGTTGACTGGTAGAGAAGAAAACCAGATTTCAAGGGGTTAAGTGTGGAAATGTTAAGTGTGGGTGGTTCTGAGGTTTGTTATTTCTCTATTTGGAGGATAGAATTCTCCCTTCAATGATGTGTGAAAATATACTTGCTTTTTCTTTTTTAATTGACCATCAACTATCTAAACTATCATGTTATCTTTGCTGGCATTGTCTCTTTTTCCTTATTTTTAGATTTGAATCATTTCATCTGGCAGGAAATATCATCAAAAATCTTGGGTATATTGGCCCCATCACCTGCCACGTACTGATAACAGCTTATATTGAGAAGATTATAAAAATCTGGTTCTTCCAAAATTTCTTTGTAGTAGGAGATGCAGTATTTTTATAGTTCAAATTAGAGCTCAGACACTGGATGTTAACCAGAAATATAGATACTTTGTAAAGCTTATTTTATTAAATACATGCTTGATTGTTTAGGTTCGGATCTGTTTTTTATTTAGAATTATTCTCTTTTTTATCTCGTGAATCAATGTAACTCTTAAAAAGTCTCTCTTTCCTGCCTTATTAAAGGCTAGTGTCTCATCCAAGGCTGTACTGGATATTCATTTTCTAAATAGTTATGTACTGTATGCATGAATTTATACAAAGAAGTATTACAAAGATGAATCATTGCATTTTTTTTATTTCTTCCATTACACTTTGTACCTCTCCCATAGCAGTGATGAACATAAAGTTCCACCCCTTTGTATCTCTGTTTTCCTTTAAGACACAAGTGATCTGCTGCTTTCTACATTGGTGCCTTCCTAGCCTTTTCAAAGTCACTTTGTATTTCCTTTACATGTATTTTGTATATATCTATATGCACCCACATTTTGTGTCTTCCATTAGTACATAAGCTCCTTGAGGTCTAGGACTGTGCTTTTGTCTCTGTATCTCCACCACCTAGCATCTGGCATATA